GTGTTTGTTTTTACATGGCATAATAAAACAAAGCGCAATAACACAAAGTACGCCTTTACTTTGTCTTTTTTTTTTTACATTTATTTATTACCTATTTTTGGCTGGCTCAGCCCACCCTGGGGACGGTGGGCTGAGCATGTTGTGCGGGGGATCGAACTGTGGTCCCTGAGCACTTGCCTAAGCATGTGCTTTACACCACTGAGCTATCTCGCTGTTTACTTTGTCTTGATAAAAATGTAAACTGAATGACAACAGCAGCCCGTCTTCCCTACTCACTGTTCGGCCCACGCCTGGCTCAGTCGAGCCAGTACTCTGAATGAGGTGCTCAGTAAGCTAGTCTCTCTGGTCCAACCCAGTCCTGTTACCACAATGCCTTAACAAAGGAGCTATCTAAAATGACTCAGTGGTTTCCCACCCTTCTCTACATTCCAGTTCTTCAGGATAACACTCAGTTTTTATACGTACTCCCCTCCAGCTTTTAAAACTAGCTAATACAGTGACACTGCAGTTCACAAACAGAAATGTGTGGCAACTTTTTGTTTGCCAACTATGCATCAGGCAGCAAACAGGACTGCAGCCAACTTTCCCCCACCAACAGAAAGGTGGCCATCTTTTCCAAAACTGTAGAGCAAATTAAGTTCACGAACCAATGGAGCACTGTGATAAACTACAATTACCTAACCAAATTTTCTAATGTAATTTTCTCTATCTACCTGTATATAATATTTAAATTGCCTCAGCAGTCATCCCCCCATTTAGATGCTTAACTGCTTTTTTTTTTTTTTTTTGAGATAGGGAGTTGCTATGAGGTTTAGAACGGCCTTGAACACACTATGTAGTCCAGGATGGCCTCAAACTCAAAGCAATCCTCCTGCCTCAGCCTCTCCTGAATGCTAGGATTACAGGCATGTGCCAGCACACCTGGGTAAAATCCTGCCTGCTTTTACGTTCTTTTCAATTTATCAAATCCCTTCCCAAATACAGACACACTGTGATTATTTGTTTCTAAACTTCAAGAGGGACTCAACTCTTGAGTTTTTTTTTTATATCTTTGGTATGTAGTAGTAGGATAGAAATACGTCCAAAAAGGTGCAAATAAAACCTACAGGGAAGAAGAAACACATTAAAAGCCTACCAGATACTTGGCCTGTATTTTCACACTCTAATTTCACACACATGTCATAACGGGACAGTAAACATCATGATGAATGTCACTTTAGTCTTTCCAGTAACATGTAACTATGTATGTGTCACTACCCATTTTACAAAGAAAACTGAGACATTAAAGTAAAAACATTAAAGTAAAAACCGGGGAGATGGCTCAGTGGAATAAATGCTTCCCTGGCAAGCACAAGGACCTGAGTTCAATCTCCCGTTTCGCAAAAAAAAAACTAATACATGCAATGCATTAATTATTGTAACTGTCCTATTAACTTGTTTTGAAACTGTCTCACTGTGATTTCTTTCTCATTAAAATTAAAAAAACTAGTAAATGAATAATAGTTTTTTACACTTTATTTCCTTTATGATTCAACTCATCTTAGGGGTGTTATCTATCAACAAGAAACACTTCTGCCAAGTAAGCAACATAAGATCTAACTTTTACAAAAAGAATGAAACGTCAAGTCGCAAAGGCCAGGGAGGGATGTAGCTCCGGGGCACAAGTGCCTGCCTGGCAAACACAAAGTCCTGAGTTTGATTCCCAATACAAAATAAATAAATAAATAAATCGATCAATCAAGTTTTAATAAGGTTCTATCATCTTTTTTATGTACAAATGAACTAATTTTTCTAAAGACGCCTATGGCTGGTCAGCAAAATTACCTTCCTCTTTCTCCCTCTTCTGGCAGCTTTTGGAGTGGTTATGTCAGCCGCTTTAGTCATGTCCTAAAGGAGAAAAAAATGCACCCACACAGATGAAACGGAGTGAATTATGCCAATATGAAAGCAGCTTTCTTAAACTAAAAATCACAAACACGTTTCACTAAAGGTGCTTGGGAAATGTTTTGCTCCTCCCACCTTTAAGGTGATAAATGTTAATAGTCGTAGCACAATTATAGCACTGAAACAAAGGCAACCAAAAACACACAAAAATCTTAACAAGGCAAAGTGAAAGTAATAGCTGTCTCTCCCTAAGGGGGAAAAACACATTTCTACTGTCAGCTCAAATATAAAATGTCATCTTTGCCAATACACCAGAACCTATTTAAATATATAAAACCACTTCTTCAGTACAACTAGAATAAGGCTGTGAAATTTTAAAAGGTGGCCTAGATTTTAGAGATCGTTCAACAATCACTTCATGAAGCCTAGAAAGGTTAAGTGAGATAATTACAAAGACATAGAAATTAACTTCGGTTTAAAACACATTCGGTCTGATGCTGTTCCCAATGCGTGAGCCCAGTGTTCCTCCCCAAGACTTCTGCAGCATAGCTGCATCTCCCGCACACAGACACACCAAGTGTGGCGAGGCAGCTGAATGCCAACAACTCTGGGAATTGACACAGGTGGAGCCTACAACCAACACCAGCCTGAGCAATTTAAGACTGCAAAATCAAATTTTAAAAAGGGCTAGTAGGGATGAAACCTTAGTGGTACAGCACTTGCCTAATGTGGATTCAACCACCTAATACCACTAGAGAAATTTTAAAAATCCATGTAATTTTAAAGGATGTACAAACTATAATGCTGGATTTAATATAAGAAAATATGCCTCTTGTGTATTCTCATTCATTTTCCAAGTACTCCAAAAATACTTCTGAAGGTCTGGGGAGCTAGCTCGGCAATCTAAGGGCCTGCGGGTCGATCCCCTGGTACCACGTGCTGTGCTGGTGCTGGAACCAGGCATGATGGTGCACACCTGTAATCCCAGGGGGAGATCACTATGAGTCTGAGCTGCATAGTAAAACCCTGTACCAAATAAATACATAAATAAATTCATTCCTGGGCTGGTAAGATGGCTCAGTGGTCTAAGGCACCTACTTCGAACAAGCTAAGCTAAGCAAAGCACAGGGACCGCGGTTCAATCCCCCAGCACCACATGCCAGCCAGTCCCGCCCCCTGGTGGG